GTTCTTTAGATGCTTGCATGTTGTACAGTGGAGCACATATAGTTATTTGGTCCTGTTTTATATTACACAGCAAAAGGTATAAATCAGGAGTTCCATATAAAGATTAACTGTAAATCTGGGGAGAAGCAAGCAAGTGTTCGTAGTGATGTAGTTACATGGTAAAGCCAAATTCAAACAGTGCATTCCGTGTCCATGCGAGGTTCCTTTGCTCATCTCTGGTAACTTCATTCAAAGCAGAAGCTTCATGCACAGTAGATAAGAGGAAGATGGGGAGGAAGACTACCAGAGGTCTACTCCCAGCAAAAGTAAAAGGATTAGAGAAGCATTTAGAGGAGACTTAGAAAAATTGGACAATATAAGGTTATAGGAAGTTGGCTCAGATGTCACCATGCAAATAACATACTTGGACTTACTGAACATGTCTTATCTGTTGGTAATGAACAAGGCCCTGTGTACTAATTTTTTAGCTTTCATTACACAGAAGGACACACGTACACACACAGTGCCTTCAAATAGGCAATTGACTTTCCCAGAACCTGAGTCAACCTGCCTGCTTTAAAACGAAATGGAGCCCGGCGGTTCTAAAACCTAGAAAACAGGAGTGTGAGTAAGCCACTCTCTGCCATTCACATAATCATGGCTACTGCTCTACCTCAATGCCATATTCTCACCCTCTTTTGTTTCCCCGCCCTCCCCGTCCCCACCACCAGATTTGCATGAAAATGTAATCCTTACCCCTGTATTTCACACTTCTTTCTTTAATAGTCATAAATAATAGAACTGATCAAAATTTTAACAGTATTAACAAATTATGATATCAGGTCAAAACTAAACTAAAATCAGTCGATTCAATCATGATTCAAACTCGGCTATCTTTCCACTTGCAATGTACTTGTCATTACCAGTAATGCAAGTTTGCCCATAAGATTGATACAAAGAAGGTGGACTGGATCTTAAATGCAATAGGGCACTGACTGTTAGTTGCCCAATCAAACAGCACTGAACACTTACCGTTAAATATTTACAGCAATACAATTGGAACAAGTGTTGACTCAATGGCACTCATTTATCACATTGTGAGATTTATGTATGTATCAGTAAATTAAGCATTGGCTTTAATTCACCCGTGAAGAATTATGGGAGAACAAAATATGTAAGAATGGACTGTTTTTACTCTGTTTAGATAGATAGAAGCAGCATATAAGACTGTATCCTTGTTTCACGATAGATTTTAATGAGCATGGGAGAAATTAATTTTAATTCCACTTGGTTACAGATATGTCTGACACTTGTATGTGACACAGTTATATTCTTTATATTTTTTATTTATGATATTAAGCCTAAGCTTTGGCTCCAATCCAACAAATAATTTAAAGATATTTTCTGCTGACTGGCTGCTTAAAGTTCCTGTTTTACAAGATGAGAATCTATTGCAAAATAGAAGTAATTGGGCAAAACATCTAACACATACTCAGATAAAGTGCAAATTTGAACTTAGAATAAATTTCAGTTTGTTTTTAGGGAATGTGAAGCATTTGAGCTTCTGACCTGCGTGGTTCGTGGCATGTATAGAGACCACTAGTGTTTTTTTTTAAATCTGTAGATGAGAGGGTTGGATATAATGCCTACTTGTAGATAGGCTGATATTCTAGCTTTTTATCCAGTCTATTCTTATAAAGGGATCTAAAGATCACAGATTCCCGCTGAAAAGGAGATTTGGTCTTTAAATTTGAGATAAAGCTTCACAATTAATTTTCTTTCCAATCTAAAGGTGTCTTTTATAAGTTTCAATTCTGTCCCATTTATTCTGTGATTTTATAAAGAATGAATAAAAGCGGTGGAACTTTTGCTTCAACTAAGTCAGACCTTTAAAGGTCTCCTTGTGAACCTTGGGATGGATATGTTGGCCGTAGAGGGAGGGTAAGGTAGATTTAACAGAATGATCATTGGATCCTAATGGTTAAGAGAGAGATTGCATGAACGAGATTGTGTACCCTAGACCTGATTTGAAATGTTCATGATATTAATTCGTTTCGATCCACCCAGTTGGTACTATCTGTTTTTCCTGGTTGGGTTGTCTAGGACTAGAGGCTGTAGTTTAAATATTAGAGCAAATCTTTCAACTGAAATTAGGAAATATTCTAATCAAAATGAGTGATAGAAGTTTAGAAACATTTTCCATAAGCGATTATTGTTGCTACATCAGTTGGTAATTTTAAAGCTAAAATCAATAGCCCTTTGCTTAATCAAAATCTATGTGCTTTGACGACTTTGGGACAACTCCAAGCACGTTATAGCTAAGTCAGAACTTCTGAAGTATAATCACAGTTATAACATAGAAAATGCTTCAGCCAATTTGCATGCATCTACGTACCACAAACAAACAGCAATTTGATGTCTGCATGTTCTGTTTTTACAATATTGTTAAGGCAAAAATATTGTCTTGACACTAGGGAACAAACCTTTGCTATTCTGTATGGAACTTGGATAAAGCCCAAGGAACATTTTTGAGAGATTTTTTACCTGCCCCGTTAATAATAAGTCCAATTCCCAAGTTGAAAACAAATTGGAAATTTTCATAGACTCACAATTTGGCGCTAGTGTAGAGAAAGTTCAAAGTATATTTTGTACTATTACATTATAATTGGATGTGAATATAGGAACTTTGTGTGGTTAGTAAGTTTGCAGATGACACCAAAATTGGTGGTGTAATGCAGATTATTTGAGTACAATGGGACCTTGTTCAGATGGGCCAATGGGCCAAGGAGTGGAGATGGAGTTTAGATAAATGTGAGGTGTTGCATTTTGGTAAGGCAAACCAGGACAGGACCTACACTGTTAATAGGAGGGCCCTGGGGAGTGTTGCCGAACAAAGGGGTCTAGGGGTGCAGGTACATATTTCCTTGAAAGTGGCATCGCAGGTAGACAGAGTGGTGAAGAAGTCGTTTGGCACACTTGCCTTCATTGGTGAGAACATCGAGTATAGGAGTTGAGGTGTCATGCGGTGGCTGTGCAGGGCATTGGACAGGCTATTTTAGAATACCGCATTCAACTCTGGTCGCCCTTCTATAGGAATGATATTGTGAAACTTGAGAGGGTGCAGAAATGAGTTACAAAAGGGTTTTGCTGGGACTGGAGGTTTGAGTGAAGGGGAGAGGCTGAATAGGCTGGGGCTTTGTTCCCTGGAGCATCGGAGGCTGAGGGGTGACCTTTATAGAGGTTTATGAAATCATGAGGGGCATGGATAAGGTCATCAGCCAACGTCTTTTCCCAGGGCTGGGGGAAGTCCAGAACGAGAGGGCATAGGTTTAAGGTGAGAGGGGAAAGATTTAAAAGCGACCTGAGGGGTAACATTTTCATGCAGAGGGTGGTATGTGTATGGAGTGAGCTGCCAGAGGAGGTGGTGGAGGTGGATGTAATTACAACATTTAAAAGACAGCTGGATGGGTATATGAATAGGAAGGGCTTAGAGGGATATGGGCCAAATGCTAGCAAATAGGACTAGATCAGATTGGTCTGATTTGGTCTGCTCGGACAGGTTGGACTGAAGGGTCTGTTTCTGTGCTGCGTGACTTTGACAGTAGCGTTTACGTTCACAAGGAATTAAATATGTAATGTTCTTTTGTTGGCTTTTCACACTTTCAAATCTGGGAACTATTTTAATAGCTTGGATTGCTAGAATCCCTGAACCAATTTTTAAAAGTCCTTCTGATGTAATATTCTTGCATCTAAAGTGAGCACTATAACACTTTAAATTTTGGCATTCTACTTACAAATATTTTAAATCCATATATTCAGAGATGTTATTACATATTTCTGGAGCAGGTGGGACCCGAACTAGGGCCTTCTGGCATAGAGGTAGGGGTCAGTACCACTGCATCATACAAGTCCAGTCATTCTGTTTAGATATTTTTACGTTATTTCCTTTTGACCTTTCACCTTTTAACCATACTTTGTAGCTCAATATGCTCTGCAAAAATGGGCAACATCTCTCCATCCAAATCCTGGTTATTTATTTGTGTATTTTACATTTTGTGTATTTGTATTTGACATTTTTTAAGGTGGGCTCCCAGTACCAAACAGTGGTGACATCATTCTCAGCATCTGTCAATTTCACAATGTCCTATGCCTAAAATCTCTACAGCCTTCCTCCCAACTGGTTTGTTAACTGCCCCACAGGTTGCCTCAATGCCCATTCATCTGTTTTATTGGTAACAATTTGTGTGAAACCTTATCAAAATCTATTAATCTTCTTCTATCTGCCACCTCTGTGATTAGCACATCAAATTCAAAATGCTTGGTAATTCTAAGCCTCTTAAATCGTGTCTTCCTGCTAACTGCTTTGAACCTCTAAAGAGACTGCCTTAAAAAAAGCAAAGCCAAAGAAAACCACAGTGCACCTAGTTGAGAGCTGATACACTTGTATTCTTCCAGATTACAGTGCCTGAAATTTCAACCAGTTTCAATTAGATGATTTTACAAGCCGGAAGAAATATAGACCTCCAAATGAATCCTTGCAATTAGAACCAGAATAATGAGTTATTTCTGAGGGCTTTTATTGGGCATTAATTAATCCTCAGAAAAAGGAAGTTGTATCCTATAATAATTTCATGATCTTGCATTGATACCAGTGGCATTGGATAAATCTATAATTTACACAAATCTATAATTTTAAGAAAGTCCATGTGTATTGTGGCCAGGAGAGTTGAGCACTGCTCTAAGTGAATAGACATCAACTGAAACAGTGACGATGAATCCATCCTTCGATCAGGTTGAGTGTTAAAGTTCATTAAATGCATGTTAGTCTGTGGTTTTCCCTTGTCATTAGTTTTCTCTACTGCCAAATTTCAAGGTAGGAGGAGTGCCGGAACCACATTAATAAAAGCAAATTGTTGTGGAAGTTCATGTGTAATGATGCATTTTAGATCAGTGATGTACTAAGCAAAATTTATTGCTGTTGTACAAGATTGTTTTTCTGACAATATTTCTTTTTCTGATAGTGTTATTCCACTCTTAAAGCAATCCATTGGGATTTTAATGCAACGTACTCCTCCAGCTTTGGATCACGTACTGCCCCAGTGCTATCAGCGGGTATGTAGAAGACCTTTATATATGCAGTATTATAGGGGGAAAAAAAGAGTGCATTTAGTATTAGACTAAACTGGAACTCTTAATCTTTCTCATTTATTCTTCCAGGTTCAACACTTGCAAGGAGTTTATAGTATAATTGATCCTCACTTTTGGACCTTGTGTAGTGAAGTCTACATCGGCACAGTAAAGCTCCTGGTAGCACCTGATGCAGATGCACGATGGATTTTGAGTCAAACACACAACATTTTCACTCAGGTATGTAAAGAGGTTATTTCTGCTGTTCTATCATGAATGTTTCTCTTTACCAATTTACAAGGTTCAAAAATTGCCAGTGACTATTGAAGAATTATTTCTATGATGCAAAGTTTAAGGTTCTCATAAAATGTAAACTATTTGTTTGGGAAACTCTTCTTACTGACATTGTACACAATATTCTGTCATTTGTATGACTAAGGGATGTATATTAAACTTATTTTTGCTTGGAGTCTCTGGCTGTGGAGACTAACATAAACTCACAATTGAATGTTCATTTGAAATTCATGGGAAGTAGCCATTCTGTAGCACAGTAGAAAAGAATGTTGAGGGGTTATTTAGGAGAACCGGGTTGCTGTTTGGATTTGACACAGCTTTACTGAGTCAATTATATAAAGTAATAGTAACACTGCTTCAAACCTATTATCGTGGAGTATTTCTTTGAAACAGAGATATTAGTTTATGGTTTGTTACAGTAGAATGGTTAAAATATGCTAATGATCTTCTGTGATACTCACTGATTCTGCAGGGTCTTTGTGTCAGGTGGCTATTCAACACCTGATGTGTTTAAGCATAGTTTAATGGGCATAGTGCACAACAAAGGGCGAGGAAAAATATCACCAGTTTCTTATGTTTGATATGTTTGGAGGTTTGGGCTGTTTTAAGTTCCTGAGGTCAAGGAGGAAATGACTGAGTGCAGGTATTGATGCAAGTTGTGATAATGTCCATATCAGTAACACTGAGCTGTTCTTTACGTAGATGAGAAAGGACAGAATCCCAACTCTTCCACCACAACATAATGCAGCCTACACACACTATCAATTCACCCAACTGACTATGGAAAGGTTCTGATGTGTTCATTATTTTAAAGACCACACAAAATCTACTACATTCCCCAAGCCTGTCCTGGTGATGACCTGCTTTTAAGCAGAATTAATTGATCGACCCTTCTGTAGACCTCTTTCAAGTACTTGAGATCCGAAAACTGGTCACTAATTTCTCAAGAAGGAATATCATTTTTCGGCATTTTGTGGAATACCAAACTTCCACCATTCACAAGCTTTGAATTTTTCTTCAAGGAGATTGCACTTGCTTTTGAGTTCAGATCTCCTTTCCAGGAATTATGCTCATGTTGATTAATTACTTCTGCTTTTTCTAAGTTATCACAAATGTTTCCAAAAGTTCTCTCAGCACCTTGTTGTAAGTAAGTTTAAACTAATGAATCTATACTTTCCAGGTTTTGGCTTTTTAAAATTAAGCCCACGCCTCTCTCTGGTCTGTGCAAACAAGTATAAATGCCATGGATTCAGCTATACAAACCAATCTCCAATCTCCAAGTTAGCACAATCTCCAAATATTTTAAGAACCTAGGGTGAAGACCACATGGTCCAGGGACTGATTTTAAGAATGCTAATTCTGGCTGGACCATTCTACATACATGTCTACTCACTCAGTCATAGCCTTACTTCTGTCTAACGTGACTCATTACTAAGTAGTGAAGATCAGTGTGGTGTACCATTTAAAAGTTTGATCACATCTTAAGCTTTACTAAACATGTCCATCAGTATTTTTCGAAGGCCCTATACAGTTCCTGATGGTTCTCTTAATTGCAAGCTAACTATTAAAGGCCTTATCATCACTGTATCATCCTTTCAGTTGTTCCTTTGCCAATTTTATAACTGCTTTATTATCTTCAGAGTAGCTTACCTTTCCATATAATTCCTTTAAGCATACAACTAGTTTTGGAAGTATTTGTTTAAATGCTGCTGCAATTGTCCATGTCTAATTGGCTTCCCAAGTAACTTGACTTAAGTCCATTTATTTTGTGAATGGAGGCCCCCTTACAAACTGGTACTCGTGTCAAATTATTGACAGTAATGTTTTAAATCTTAATAGGCTGATCTGAATTTAGTTCTTTCCTGTTGAACTGATTGGCTTGGTAGGCCATTTCATAGGGTAGTTAAGAGGCAATCACATTGCTGTGGGTCTAGAGTCCAGATATCAGCCAGATCTGGTAAGGATGGTAGATTTGTATCTCTAAAGAACACTAGGGAACAAATTAGTTTCTACAACAATCACTGATCGATCACCATTAATGAGACCAGTTTTGTAGCCCACTAGATGCCATGGTGCGATCAGTGGCAATGATAAAGAAAATAACATCTCGATTTATATAGATTTTAACAAGATAAAATGATTTGGCTGCAGTGTTTAACTTTCTTTCTTTCCTTTGTGAATTCTGTACTTCTTTTTCTAATGGAGTGGATAACTCTAGCTTATTCTCTGCTGTGTTTTTGTTGGCTGGTAGTGTTAGGTAGTGCATAAGAAGGTTCTTTTGATGCTGTCTTCTCCGATGCACAGATGTTGACTGCGTGTTTATTGAGTGGAACATTTCCAAAGCAAGTACACAGGAGCACGCTGCTGCAACATACTGCGTACAATACCAGTCGTGTATTAGAACATGCTGTAGTGTAAATTTTTTAGCATAAAAACCTACATTCACAACACTCTGGTTACGTTTTTATGAAATTGTGTTTGCTCAAATGAAAAAGGAAGCATTGAGTTATTTACTGATATTGAGAAATGTTGGTGAGAATGAAAAACATTTTTAGCTCATTTCAATGGGTGAGTAAACAAACATTTTTATTCCTTTTTTTCCCTGCAGGCAGGAGTAAGACAGCTTTACGTCCAGATTGACTTTGCAGCTCTGTAAGATTGTCTTAAAAACTTGAGTCCAAACCCTTGGTGCTGGGACCAAGGAATAGATTTAACTGCTGTTGGGTTGCTGGATTGAAACACCACCATACAATGTGCTTGATATCAACCGAGAACTATTTATTTGCAATTGTGGAAGGTTCTTCTCAAAAAGAGTTGAGAAACAGTGAAGTAATCTACATAATCACTACCCACTAGATCTGGAGCCACCTTTTATGTCTAGACCTGAAGTGTCTTATTTCATCTTGACTTTTTTTCAAGGAATAATAGCCCAGTCAGCGTTCTGGTGTATGATGAACCAAGCATCGTGTTGGTATAATCCTGCATCCTGTTTGGCAGATATGTTCCCACAATTCCTGCTATTCCTGTTCTTGTAAATATTGTTGTCCTGACTATCATTCTACTCCATGATGATTATTTTCTAATTTGTTGTACACTATACATGTTGAATGAGATGAACCATATTCAGTTTCTGAAGTGCCTTTTTCCAGTGGACATGAATTAATATTGGAAGGATAGAGAGTGGATACTGGACTCATTGGGACATATTTTATAATCATTGACCAGTAGTGAGCATCATGGTGATCAGCATGGTTCTCATGGATTTTAAGTTTTTCTTTTGAAATGAGGGGATGTTGGGATGTGAGCAAGCTTATCCTTTTTTTGTCGTGGTGGGATACAGGTAATATTTTCAATACCATTCATACTCATGCTATTCATTATATGCTGATGGATAAAAAGGAATTCCACTTGCATCGTGGCAATTTTACACATGGATGATTGATGTGTGTTCATCCTGGATTGGGCTGGGGTTGAAAATGTACACTGTGGCAGAGGATCCATGCACAGTGGATCTTATCGGAAAACAAATATTCTTATCGTAAAAATGTTAAGATTTTTAAAAAAGTCCTCTGCTCCTACTTGGACTGTTTGTTTGCAGGTGATCCGCTCTTGGGTAAAATTCAGTAAAACTACAGTTTTAAACCCTTGGGGGGAAAAAAAAAAGCTTTGTTAACTAGCTCTACAAGGCAAAATTCTGCAGATGCTGGAAATCTGAAATCTAAACAGAGAAAGTACTGGAAGTACTCAACAGACCAGACAGCTTCTGTGCATTAAGAAACAATGAATGCTTTCAGCTGGTTACCTTTAGAAACTGAGAAAGATGCTGCCTGGCCTGCTCAGTATTTCCAGCCTTTTCTGTTCACATTTATAAATTGGTTAGCTAACTTTAGATTCAAAGAGGGACTTTTTTTATTATGCCAGACACTTGCCAGAAGGAATGGGTATGTTGTGAGTTGATGTATTTAGTGAATGGTTTCTTAATGTTTGTGCTGGTCTACTTTAAACAGGTATTGTGGACCAACCAAGTGTAGATTTTTTTGCTCTCAGCAAGAGCTTGGATAATCTGGTTTCTTCTTCAATAGATTGTAACTGTAAAGAGGCAGTGGGAGGACTGTGGTCCTAATGGAACTTAACTGAGGTTAAGTTGCAAAGTAATGATGAAAAGACTAATGAAAAATCAGTGCCCAGTGGTCCATCAGGAGAAATTGCCCAGAATTGTGTTGCCCCTGTATCACTGACTTGGAGTATGTCAGAATTCCACAAGTGAGTGATAGTGAGGTGCAAAGCAAAAGACTGCAATCTGCTTGCAATCGAGAAACCAGACAAAGCTTTTTTGTTTCAGCTGTTTCGACAGTGAGTGAAATCTACTGTAAATTATTGAAATTCATCCGGCAATTAAACTGTTCGGTGAAGTCAGCTGCATAAGGAAATGAATTTGGAATATGAAGCAGTATCTTGCAACAGTTGCCAAATTGCATTGTTCAAGGCAAATGTTTACAGCTTGGAAACCTTGATAATGATTTAACTGTTTACACACAAGCTGTAATCACTTCCTGTATGACTGTGCAGGATAAATTCATGGTACTGCACAGATATTCCCTTCTCCCTCCCTTGCCCAGACTCTATCTGTAAAACAATTATGTGATTTGTGAAGTTCACGTCATTGCAGGTCTGTATCTCTCAATTTACAAGCTACAAGTTAAGTGTTCACTTCCCAAAATGTGAATAACTCCTACACAGGGTAACATTATCTGATAAACCTCAATAAATAAATACTTCTGCATCAAAGCAAAAGTATTTATATTGTTTTGAGAGGGAATTGTCGCTGTTCTCTTTAAACAAAATAGCTACTGTGTTGGGTGTAGAATGCATTGTTGCTGCTTCTGGGAACATTTCCAACATTAAATCAAAGGGGTCTTTGTTTTGTACTAAGCCTTTGCCTCTACCCATAAGTTAATTGGGCATTTGAGGAGAGAAGAGAGTTGTATTATTTTATTTGAAAGAAGGGTTGTCAGACTTTTTTTCAGTTTCGCAGCTTTGAACAGGACTGTCTGAAATCCCACCTGGCAATCTTGAGCTGTTCAGTAGTTTTTTTGAGTTGATTTTAAATATCATAAATCTCTTGAAGGTCTGAAGAGGTTCAGTACAGTATTTTAATAATTTGAAAGACTTGTAAATTTCACCAAAGCAATTTGAAGTACGCACAACTATGAAGTAAAGTCTCTACAGTAAACTGTCTTTTCAATCAACTTGTCAGACTTATAGAAATATGCATAATAAATATTTTGACAACATCATTTTGTGCAAGTTTTTAAAGCTTTCATTTTTATTTTCCCTTGCAGGAATGATCAGCATTAACCAGCTCCTTCTGATTTAATGCTAAGTTACAGAACATTACTCCCTATTATTTCATCACATACTTTTACTGAAATTCTGGGATCACTGATCTTAACGTTAGGACAATAACTTGTGGCCAATTGGTGAGCTCAGGAACTGTAACATAATGTAGTTAAGCTCCGTAAATCTATTACCATGCAAGTATTTTTGAAAAAGTATGCGTTGTTTTCATTGTCAGTTAAACAAACTGTCCCATCTCCACTTTAAAAATTGTTTTTTAAAATAAACAAACCTCTTGTGACTGTCCATTGTGCCTGTACTGAGACAGCAGTTCTCTCTCAAGTTGATCAAGGAAAAATAAATATGAAGATACAATCTGTACATAAGTTAATTCATACTTCTCATTTATTTCCATCTTTTTTAATTATTGGGACACTGGTGAAGGGGAGGTTTTTAGTGTGCTGAGATGAATATTGATGTTCTAAGAAGGAAGGGAGCAGACTTGATTTGAGATAATAAAATGGAGTAAGTGAGCTCAATGCAGGGCTCATGACTGCAGCATTGTCACATTCAGTTTAAAATAAGAAAGGGAAAAGGCAAGGTTGAAAGCAGTGTAGTTGCAACAAAATAAACAGAAGTCAAACTGCAGCCAGAACCGAACGTTGTCCAAGAGACCTCAACTCAACTCCATTCAACCTCTCCCCAACGAAACGCATAGCCCTTCACTCCAAGCCTAACCTCACTATCAAACCTGCAGATAAAAGGACGCAGTAGTGGTATGGCGCATTGACCTTTACATAGCTGAGGCCATGTGCCAATTCTCCTCGATCATGATCCACCCCCCCCCCCGACCACCAAAACATCCTCTCTCAAACCACTCTGTTTTCTCCCCCAGTCCAGGAACACCCCACCTATGTCCAGGATGCCACCCACGCCCTCCACCATCTCCAAGACTTCCAATTCCCTGGCCCCCAATACCTCATCTTCACTATGGATGTCCAATCCCTGTACACTTGTATCCCCATGCGGAGGGCCTAAAAGCCCTCTGCTTCTTCCTCTTCCGCAGGCCCAAGTCCCCCTCCACCGACACCCTCATTCGCTTAACCAAACTCGTCCTTACCCTTAACAACAACTCCTTCAACTCCTCTCACTTCCTATAGACTAAGGGGGTGGCCATGGAAACCCGCACAGGCCCAAGCTATGCCTGCCTCTTCATAGGATATGTGGAACAGTCTGTCTTCCACTGCTACACTGTCACTATCCCCCACCTCTTCCACCGCTACATCGATGACTCTATCGGCACTGCCTCGTGCTCCCATGAGGAGCTTGAACAGTTCGTCAACTTTACTAACACCTTTCACCCCAACCTCAAGTTCACCTGGGCCATCTGATACCTCTCTCTCCTGACTGGACCTCTCTGTCTCCATCTCTGATGACCACCGAAACTGACATCCATTTCAAGATCACTGACTCCCACAGCTACCTAGACTACACCTCTCCACCCACATTCTCGCAAGAATGCAATCCCTTACCCCCAATTCCTCCGCCTCCGCTGCATCTGCTCTCAAGATGGGGCGTTCCACACCCGAACATCCCAGATGTCCTTTTACTTCAAGGACCGCAACTTCCCCCCACTTCGGTGGTCGAAAATGCTCTCAAACCCATCTCTTGCATTTCCCGCACCTCTGCCCTCACAAACCCTCCACCCCCCCCTACAAAAATAAAGACAGAATTCCCCCTTGTCCTCACCTATCACCCCACTAACCTCCATATTCAACATATCATTCTCCGCCACTTCTGCCACCTATAATCTGACCCCAAAACCAAGGATATATTTTCCTCCCCACCCCTATCTGCCTTCCGTAGGGACCGCTCTCTCATGGCTCCCTTGTCCACTCCACCACCCCCAGTACCTTTCCCTGCAACCGCAGGAAGTGCTACACCTCCCCCTTCACCTCCATCGAAGGCACCAAACGAGCCTTCCACATTAAACAGATGTTCACCTGCACATCTGCTAATGTGGTCTATTGCATCCGCTGCTGCCGATGTGGCCTCCTCTACATTGGTGAGAACAAGAGGAGGCTCAGAGACCGTTTTGTAGAGCACCTGCGCTCTGTTTGCTCCTCCCACCTCACTGACCAATCCCTACCACTGCCTACCCGCACTCAACTGTCATCATCCCACCTACCTTCCTCAGTACCACCCCACTCTCTATTTATTTCTGAGCTCCCTTCCCCTTCCCCCATTTCTGAAGAAGAGTCCTAACCCAAAACATCAACTTTCCTGTTCCTTTGCTGCCTGGCCTGCTGTGTTTCTCCAGCTCCACAGTGTTATGTCCAACTCCAGCATCGGCAGTTCTTACTAATCTCTCGATGTTACGTGCTCAAATGAATGGGATTGCACAGAGTTACGTTCCATGAAAAAGCAGTTGTCGAGTGAGACCTTTTATAGATCGCAAGATCGAATCTAAGAAGCGCTTTCATCATTGGGTATGGTGTAAACTTTGGTAATTAACATTAGACAGGTATGCAGGAGGCTGAAAGATCAGTAGACTCCAGCCTGACCTTTGGTGTAAATGTGTGAAATGGAGGGAGGCCTATAAGGCCACAGTGATAGAAACTGCACATCACAAGAATATTTGCTTCTGAGAGTTAGGGTTACTGGGATATCAGGCTGCCACATTACCCATAGTAACCCCAACCATTCAGTTGTCCTCATTTCCAGTCAAAGTGCTATCCCTGTGGAGATGTGGGTTATATCCAGACAGTGTGTTGGAGGAGAGGGAACTGTAATGCTCCAAATATGGTAAAGTTCTAGGTCGCTGCCGTGCATCAGGTGGAGGTCAGACTAAATGCAAATGTGATTCAAGAGCCTGAAAATCATCCAAAGCACCTCTGATTGATATGGAATCAGAAGTTGATGTTAGTTAGCAGCAAGGTCGAGAGTTGTTTTCAGTTAAAGAGCAAAACACACAGATTTTTGTGTTTTCTTGTGTAGACTGTGTCTGGTTGTGGTCATGTGGGTACGTTGTCATGTTTGTGTGTGCATGGTTGTGGTCATGTGCATGTGTCATGTGTGCGTGTCATGTGTGCGTGTCACTGTGCACACATAGGTGTCATCGTGTGTATGCATGTGTGCTTGCTATTGTGTCAATGTTGTGTGACAGAGAGAGAGAGAGAACTTACTCACTTGATTTCAGAAACTCGCCTATACATTGTGGAACAGTTGCTTGAAAGAGGAAATCTGCTGGGTTATCTGTCATGCATCTCTATCACCTAAATTCTTCCTGCAAAATGTGTGAAATTCACAAAGCGTCAACAAATCAGCTAAATCAATTGGTAGAGCAGAATGATTCAGATCTTGGACTAATATAAATCCACCAATGTCACACTGCCAGTCATTCCGAGGAGTTAGTCTTTTCAGTTCAGGATTTGCCCAGTCAGAAATGTTGAGAGAGCAGACTCAAATCCTGAAGTGGATGAGGAGGAAGCCAGATAGGAAAAATAAATTATTTTTTAAACGTGTTAAGTCAAATTCTATTTTTGTTCTATTTTGGTGTTAATGAGGACCATGGTTTTAACATGTGAATCACTCTGGAAGGTTTGATCATATGTTGGTGTGATCACCGTAATAACACGTTTGCAACTCTATGTATATGTGCCATTTTAAATTCTAAAGTTTAATTTTTTTTAGCTGGGGCAGATGTGTCGGTATATTACAGGAACCGAGCATTTTAAATTGCCCTGTATATAAGGTGAGTGTAACAACTGCCTGCAGCTGAGCATTAAAGTTTTACTCTGTGCAATACACTACATCAGGTTTGTTTCAAGTTAAGAACAAACGGAATTGATTCAAGATCAGAGTTCCAGGTTTGGATACAAATGAGGTTAAATTTGACAGTGAATTCTTTCCAGGGTAGCTAGTCATATATAAAGTGAATGGCAACCAATTGAGAGGAAATAAAGCTTTTGCTAGGCCCACTGAGTTATGGACAGGGACTTTCCACATGTGCTACTGAACCTTCAGTGGAAGTGCAGAGTAGACAGCCTTGCCAGAAACACTTGGTGGAAGAGCAGGAGTTTTGAGGTTCCAGCCTTGGAGAAAACAGGTGAGAAATTAACAAAAAGCCTCTGCCATTCAGTCAATGATGCAACCTCACAAGCCACCCCAATGTAACCACCACCTATTGGAGATAAAACCTGACAACAACTCACTGGGGTTGGGGGGAACACTGCAAACAAACATTTCAGATTTCCTAACACCTTTGGAGAATGTGGTTCCACCATTCTTCAGCACGCCTACTGCTATAACTGGAGGAGTCCCTTTTTTGGCCATTTCAACATTCTTGTGTGTAATAATACATCAACCATCAAACTGTAAGCGAGTTCAGTCCTTTATCTCAGAGCAGCAGCCTTTGTTTTCTGCACTGGCAGGCTGCCTCTTATTAGAACCCTGTTGGCTTTCCCTCGAATAAGTGGTTAACTTCTATCATCAGATGCCTTTTGATTTATGGCCTTGTGAGCATTCCTCCTCATCTTACACACATGTTGGGAGTTTTCACATTGCCAGTGTGTGGCACTGTACTAGTCTGTACTAAATTATATCAGTCACACACTTTGTACTTGCTCTCAATTCATTTCAGTGAGTATGAATTACTTTGCCTTGTGTACCCCACAAAGTAAAAAACAATGAAACCTGTGATCCAGTCTTACAATTGAACAAAGCAAATTTCACTAGTTCTGAAGCTCCAATCAAATCCACTCATTCATTATGCAACCTCAGCTAGTTACCCAATACTTCCTTCTCACTTTCTCATTTCTGACTAATTGTGTTGCTTGCTCTACTCAACATAAGCAGCTCTTGGTATCTGCTGTTCCCTGGTAAATCTTGTTTGACTCAATACCACCAGAGAGATTCAGGGCATCTTTGTGGTACAGTATCTCTGAGATGACACTACCTGTTGAGAAAATTCGAACAAGTCCAATCCAGACACCATAAGCCAATACCAAAACCAGGCAGGTAAACTACACTTCAATGCACACTAACCAGCCAAACTACCTGACCTACAGAGCTCTGTAATATTGGCTGGTGCTGGTTAGAAAGGCAGTACCAATCCAGTCCACACCAGCGATACCAATGTTTACACTTATACATCTCCAAAGTTTTAATTCCACCAAGATATCAGGGATGTAAATCTAAAAGGAGAAAGATTATGCAGTGTGGAAAAACAGAAGCTGTGTCAGTTAGTGCAGATTTCCCAGAAGTTTAGATTTTTGAACATGGGAATGAGTTTCCATGGCAGCAAGACTAGCCGAACAAAATCAAACAACAGAAATAGACATACAGCACAGAAACAGAACCTTCTGCCCTAACAGCCCATACCGAATATAA